ATTACATGTGGGCCTTCCCTTGTGGTGCAAGAGGTTAAGGCACAGCACTGTGAAGCTATCTGCAGCCACTACAGCACAAATTTGACCCCCAGCCAGGGAGCTGACCCACATGGCGCAGCAGACCTCTCCTGTCTCACCTGCCGCTCCCCTCAGCATTGTGTTTAAGGACATCTGCCTATTCTGTTCCCCACTCTAACTCTGGGGAGTCCTCTCACCACCCCTCTGGCCTGTACCCCAGTTCTGTATGCGTAATCTTTTTTTTAAAAAAGGAATTACTTGTATGCATGTATTGCATTAGTTTTTCCAGATTTCTGTATCTATCATTACTAAACTTCTCACCAGTTTTTCAATTCCATTTGATTTTTTTCTATTTTCCATTCCTTTTAACATAGTTTCATTAGGTCTATTAAATTTTTGTTCCTACTAGTTCATATGATTTTTATTTGTAATTACTTCTTGAGTTGTCTTCTTTCTTTTAATAATTCCTTCTTGTCTTTTAATCTCTGAATTTCTGATATATTATGTAACCATCAGAGTTTTCATTAGTTTTGAAACATGAAGCTTTCATTTACTTTTGCCATATTTTTCGATGTATCTTCACTTCTCCTCAGCACATCAATCATAGTCTTTTTGCTTATGATATGTTTCCGATTACAGCTATTTTCTGTTGCTCATGTTTACTAGGTGGATTTTACTATGGTTTCAAGAAGTGAAGATGAGACAGGCTTTGCTAGGTTTGTGGCTCTTGGGCCCCTTCTTTTGTGTTTGCAAAGTATGAGTAGAATATCTTTGAATCTTCTGCTTTCTCTGGTCCCCTTACCATCTTAGTCGCCAGTACTTTGTTCCTTTTATTAGACACATAGAATTTGAAATCATTTTTAATAGAATTTATTTAGCATGGGATTCTTTATTCTGCAAGAAAATTTTGGTGTGTATTTCTAACAGCTGTAGGGATCCAGACACAACAACATAATCTATCAATCATTTCCGTTGAGTCTCTTGACACTCACCTATGTAGCAAGTGCTCAGTGGTCGTTCCCCACTTTTGACAGTTCTTGTCATCTCTGCTTGCCAGAGTTCCCTATGAAGATCCACCTTTCCTTTTCCTTCAGCAGGTAAGTACTTAATAATGAATACTAGTTCAAAAAAACTGGATACGGCCCCTCTGTAATTACCAGTAGTTAGTGCTTTTCCTTTGTTATTCACATTCTAGAATTTGTAAGAATGACACCACTTTTTGCTGAAGATGTAGTCCATCAGTTTTTCATTGTTCTAGATCATGCTTCGTCCATGATAGTAAGAGTAATAACTTCAGCTACCCCTCCTCCAATTCCCCAGCACACACTTATTAAATTCTCTGTACTTGTTTAAAATATCAGTACTTTTAGTATACACTAAATATATGCACATACAGAATATCTTTCATAAACTCCACATATTACTTTGACTCTTAATAACTTCTGATGTAACCATTCTAGGCATATCTACTGAACTATTTTCGCTTCTCATATTGATAGAGCTCCACTCTGTAGCCAGAGGGCAGTCATGGTTTATTATAGGATCTGAAACTAAATTAAAAAATGTGCTTGGTCATGTAATATCACTGTCTCAAACAATAAGCTATTAAATGTCATCTATAACTTGTTTCTAGTTTGTCTAAAACTCCTAAGACATGTATGTATTATTGTGAAGATGGAGGAAAGAGAAACATACCAGATCACGAAAGCAATTTTTAGGCATTTGATTTTATCTAAGCATTTCCAAAGCATTTTAATTGGATACTTGCACTAACTTTGATCTTTGGCCTGTGATTGGCTAAAGTGGCAGAACTATGGGACAAATGTCATCTAATGGGCGTAGGGTCAATGCACTGTGCTTGCACACCACAGAGCCCTCAGTGGCCATGCACATGCGCACTAATTCATTCTAAGAAACAGCTGGATTTCATAATGTGAGTGGCAACCAGGCCTTTGCCCTTAGGGTTTACTATCTACCAACAAAATTCATGTATTTCATTTTCTAACCAAAATAATGTTTTCTCACTCAAGATGTGCACTTTTACATCTGTTATTTATTTGGTATGCTTTCCCCCTCTCTATTACTCACTTCACAGTTTTGGATTAGCAAATATATTGGGTGAAATGAGGAAAATTATGTAGACAAAAACAGTAGGATGTGCTAATTGTCATCAAATAGAAAAATACTGAGTTTAAAAGATAAGGTTTACTTTGCAGTTACTTTGAGCTGGAGCTTACTAATCTGCAATAATTCTGCTCCATTATAGCAAATTCGTTATGATATGTGGAATAAAGTAATTTATGTCAACAGAATTCAGATCAATTTGCCAATCATTGAGAATGAGCTATCCACTTTGCCTGGATTTTATAATGCCGTCTAATTGATATGAAAAGTGCGTCCCAACTATCAAGCAAGCACTCAGTCTTAAAAAGAACATGTTACCAGCGTGAAAGACTAGGAGTTAAAATTTCATATTCCATGCCAACTACCTTTTGAACTTCTAGTAGCTGGCCTATGAGTAAAGCCATCTATTTAATATCATGGCAGTTTTAATACCAGAGGTGAGGTGAGGTAAGGTCATTATTCCAACTTTTATTCTAGATTTCATTCACAAAAACCTCCACAAAAATTTCAGGTTTTCTCGGTCAATGCATTCTAGTTCACTGTCCTCTAGCTTTAGGGTCACAACTTGATAAAGGTAAATTTTTAGTCAACGGAAGGAAAAACTGGACAGCAAAGAAGGGTAAAGAGACTCCTCAGTGATAGACTCATGGGAGCCTTGACACAGCAAGCTCTTAACACTTAAAACTTATTTTTTTACAAGTCTTTACCGTTTTGCTTTGTGCATTTCCTACCCATGACCCAAGCTCCTTCTTTTTGGATGTAGTCCTCCACTTACGACTGTTCTTCAGTTGTCCTCTGTCTTTTGAAATGGATCATCATTTTAGATGCTTTCAGTGTCTTGCTTTTTTAAACACTTAATGTTAAGGTATGTATAAAATGACAAAACAAAAGTAACAAGCATATGTTCGATAGACATAATTTCAGAGTTAATAATTAATTTTCCTCACTAATAACTTTTTAAAAAATGGCAAGAATGTCTCTGAACTTGAGGGCAAAGGTGTGGAAAAACATAAGTGTGGTCTCAAATGGAGACAAGAGTAAATTTTAAGGTAAAATATTATAGACCAAATCTACTATAGACTAACTATGCATACATGTAGGCAGCCCATACTATATTTCAGTATTTTAAAAGAACAGTTAAGTGATCAAATCCCTAAGGAAAAAGCATTTTCCCTTTTTTTTTTTTGCCCAGGAATCTGTTTTGGAAGCCAATTCAATGATTACTACTAGGCCATGGAATTTTGATATCCATTTGGTACTGATTTACACCAGTATTTTTAAGGCTGCCAACAAGAAAGTCCAGAATTTCAGGCAGCCAAAATTCCACAAGAGACAACTGTCTTTTATTTTATAGCTTATGAATTTGGGACTTAATATGATTTTCCACTAACAAGTTCTGTACCCCCTCCAGAGTGCTAAAGCCAGTGTGTAGATCAGCAAAGTAACACAGAACATATGAGGCAAGTTAATATTAAACTTGAAGGAAAACTGTACAAATTATACTGTTTACTTAGGAAAAAAGCATTCGAGTTGAAAGGGCTGACATATGATTTATTGCAAACACTTAACCAGTGTGCTCACATTTTTACCCTCCATCTCATTTGTAGCAATTGTTTGGTGGTGTAGCTTTGGACACAGTATTAATAAAGTCATCAATTAAAAGTCAAATAGATATTGGTAAGGAATAGCTCTAAAAATTTCATGTCTTCTATTTTTATTGGAGGTCAGGGGAAAAGGCAGAATCATGTCCAGGACGAGTAATAAATCACAGTAGGTCACTTAGCGAAGAGTTGGGGTAACACTTTCTAAACATAAGTAAATGAAAAGTCTGTTTAACTAAAAACAACAAAATGATCTCAGTTTCTAGAAATAATTCTGTTGCAAAACAAAATCTCCATTTGTAATATTGTAAAAAGTCAGTATAGAATTTCTTTGTATGCTCCATGTAATCTCTTGAAGGAAGCTGAAGAGCAAATAAATATTGGAACACTGAAATATTTTTTTTTTTAAGAAAAACCATGAAATCTTCTTTCCAGAACCATGAAGGAGAGACATGCATTTGTCTTATACTAACTATTTAAGTGTTCCATGTCTAAATGACTTTTCTAAGTTTTCCAGTCTTGTCCCATCTCTTCATGTTTCATACAATTTCTAATGTGGTTTTATACACTTGTTCTCAATTTAAGAGCAGGCAAAGGTATATAATTGTCAGAATCAGCATAGGAAGCCTTAAAATTCCTTAGCTATGACACTAGATATCAAACACAGCACCTTGTAATGTTTTCCACGAACAAGAATTTAGTTATCTCACAATTTTACAAATAAAATGTGTCAAAAAAAATAAAAAGAAGGAAATTTTCTAATGCAGAAGCCCATACCAATTACTAAGAAAACCATGCCAGCTGTCTCTGAGACTTGACATCAGAGTTTGAACTGTTCCTATGAAGTCTGGCCGTGATGCCAGTCATGACACGCCACCTGCTGCATTCTCACTAGCCTAGAAGGAGTAAGAACCGTCGATTCCCAGGCTCACCAGCGAAAAGGTTGCAACCTTATATGCGAGCCCGACTCTACACCACTGTATTTCTGAAGTAGGAGCTGTATAAAACAGAACTATTTTAACCACGTAAAGACAGCTAAAGCTCACAGAGTTGGAACAAACGGAGAAAAAGGGGCACTCATTCTTGACTTTAGTAGAAAAATTGTAAAAAATCTTCATTTAAAAATATATTGCTAACTATGAAATTTATTATTAGCTAACAACATAATTTATCAACACAATATTTTAAAACTGAAATTAGGTAGATTATTTTTCAACAAAACTTACTACACAAGGTGAACACAAGAATTAGCTGTAAATTAACTTTGAGAAGTTAGTATCTGTCCACGCACCTACTCATGAGACAGAACACTGAAAAAAAAAAATTCATTCTGTTTGCCCAAGAACTGCCTTGGGGCAGCCGACCACATACTTATTGCTCTTCATCCATCCTGGGTTTCTGTCAAGAACATGCATGCTGAGTCATTAAGTCAGGAAGAATTTTCTTACTTGGCACAGAGTTATGACAAATACCACTTAATTTCTCATTAGATTTCCAAAAGACACTATGGTAAAATTCAAATCATGGCTAAAGTCACAAGGGTGGCATCTTTAAATTAGCTCAACTATCAGAAACAGCTTCATTTGAAAGAAACTTATATTGATGCCTCCAAATGTCCCCGCTCTGTTACTTTCTGTCCTCATTTCTTAGTCCTCACTAGCTTGTTTTGGACTGAGCACTGTAATCAGCTCTAGTGTGACCATCACACACCAGAATTCACTCCCACATACACATTACAGCAGTCAGGTTCATTGTCCGCTGAAGATCTGACCCCACCGAAGACAGTTATGACATCATGTACACTATGTCATATACACAAAGGGACCAAAACGTGGAGGTGAAAAGAGGGGGTAACTTCTCGTTACCATGGGAACAAATTTGAGAAACTTAAAAACGAACAGGATCCAAAATCCCTGACTAAATTTAATCGCTCACGCCTGGATAAAATGACCCAATCTGAGGTGAAGAAGGTTTTATTCAATTGCTCGCGACCAGTGATGAGCAGGGCCTGGACATTGCAATCATTTTATATCTGAACTTCATCTTCAGCGTTCAGTCCCCGGTATGCGTCACTGACCCGGGCTCCCAGTAAACTTCCACCCATCAACACTGCAGGAATGGTGGGGGTCCGGGTGGTCAAGAGGGAGAGAGATGGAGAGAAGCTGGGCGTCATGGCTTCCGGGAGAGAACTGAGGTGGTAGCGAATGGGTGAGTGTGGGTATTTCTGAACCACGGGCCTTTGAAGGGGCGTGATGGCTGACATCCTGGGTGGAACAGCTTTCACCCCTGGCTGTGCTACCGCAGTGATCAAAGGTGGCGGGAAACCCAAAGACTTCTTCTCTTTTGGAAGGCCAGGCTCAGGCAAATGTTCGTCCTTCAGTTCTGCAATATCATTAAATACTGAGGCCAGAGGCTGGAACTTGGGTTCCCAACCGAGGAGATAATCCCAGTGGTGACTGCTTCTTCCATCATCATTGGAGGTGCTCTGAGGGGAGAGAATGCTGATTCTTGCTTCCTGCTCGCCTGACACAAAAACAGACTCTTCTCTGCTGTCGGCCTGGATAGCCTCGTTTACCTCATTCTTCCTCAGGGGCTGGGGTAACATATTACCTTGAACAGTGGGTGTTCCACAGTCTTCTCCACCTCCTTCCTCAAATGTCTGGCTGGGTTCTGCCATCTCAGTGGCAACCCCCACATCGGTCTCCCCAGACAAGCATGAGAGCTGATCTGAGTCCCTTGGGATCCCGGAGTCTGGCACCCTGGACTCCCTGTCGCTCAGGGCCGACCCAGTGTCCTTCCTGTACGGGTGCTCGTTGATTCTCTGGATTTCCTTATCTTCGGCGGTTTCTCCTTCCACAGAGCAGTGGCCACTGGAATTTGAGTGCCTGTATAGATTCACAAGGTCCTTCTCCATGATGCTTAACAAGCTCAGCCATTCAGGCATGGAGTTCATGGGCACTGTCTCCGGGAGGCAGTCGCTGCTTTCCTGGAAGGCTCTGAGCCCGCCAGCCTCCCTCCTGGGCCTCACACTGCTGGGGCAGGAGGGGGAGGTTTTCTTTTCTTCATAAGTGTCTATTGCGTCTTTCTGTTTATGCCTTAAAATCAGTGCAGTTAAGATGAAGACCAGTAACAAAAACACTAAAAAGGAGGCCGCGAGGCTGACTGAAAAGGTGCTGACTGATACTGCCAAGTATTTTCCTTGCAAGGATAAAGACACGTTCACAAAAACAGTACAAGTTGTAAACTTGGAGCCTGGTTTGGGGCTATGAGCAATGATTTTCATTTCGATGGTGTCTTCTTTGCTGACTTGACTTTTTCTGAGGGCAAGAGCTCTAGTCAAGTAAATATTCCCATTGGTTTGATTGATCGAAAAGAAAGGCGATGGGGTCCTGAGAGAGTAAAGAACAACTCCATCCAGACCAGCATCGGCATCTGAGGCCTCCACTCTGCCCACCAGCTGTCTCACATGAACCTTTTCTGGGAGGTCGAAAAAATATTCATCCTGAGTGAAAATGGGTTCAAATTCATCGACCCCTTCAAGATCCACCCACACCACCAATGAGGCTGTTGAGTCGCCTTTGTCTTTTGCCTGAACCGTCAGGCAGTATTTATTGCTGTTTTCATAGTCGAGGATTTGCTTAGCATGAATATCCCCCGTCACAGGGTTGATGAGGAAGGGGATGGCGTGATGCAGAGAGGCCCCACGAGTCACAGAACAGGAGGACAAAATCGAGTAGGTCAATTCTCCATATGGGCCTGTGTCAAAATCCAAAGCATTTACAGAGCATATGGTGGAAGAGACGGGCACATTTTCAGGGACAACACAGTTCAGTCTTGAGAACATAAACTGAGGTGCATGATCATTGTCATCCAGGACCCCGATAATCACCATGGCAAAGGAGAAATGTTTCCTTTCTTCATCGGAAGCTTGAACAGTTAAAGTGAATTTTATGGTTTCCTCATAATCCAGAGGTTTGCGTAAATAGAGAACTCCAGTTTTTTCTTCTAAGTGAAAGTGCCCCTTCTCGTTACCAGAGATGAGGTGGTAGGAGGTGTCGGCATGCACACCCTCATCACGGTCGCTGGCTGAGACCACGGTGACGTGGCTCCCCGGAGGGGTGCTTTCCTTGATGTGGGCGTGGTAGGTCAGCCTGCTGAACCGAGGGGGACTGTCGTTGACATCAATCACTTCCACGGAGACCGTGGCTGTGGAGGTCAGGGGAGGGCAGCCTTGGTCAGACGCCAGAATGACCAGTTGGTGGCTGGCCGTGGTCTCTCTGTCCAGCTGGTGGAACAGTACCAGGTGACCGACTGGCTTGGGGGGATATTCTGAATGAATGAAATGAGTTTCTATGAGGAAATTGTTCTGTGAGTCACCACTGAGGATGGAATATTCAACATGTGTGTTTTCGTGGGTCCAGTCGTGGTCGGTGGTGGAAAATGTGACAAGCGTGACCCCAGCTGGAGCATCTTCGCGCAAGCTGAGGTTGTAACATCCTACTGCAAACTCAGGGGCATGATCGTTCAAGTCCTGTATTTCTATTTCTACAGGCGTAAGTGCCCTCAGGTCAGGGATCCCACCATCGCTGGCTTCAACAAGAAATCGAATGGTTGGTTTTTTATCCAGAGGTAATTTGGGAAGGATAGAAAATATGGTGCCTGAAAAACAAGACATAGCACTTCAGTGTTGGGAAATTAAATTTTCACGATCCAGGGGGTCTGAGAATATTTACTGAAAGTTTACTGTTTAGTGATTTGTTAGATTTGTTATTTAACTTACACCAACAGTAAAGCCAAACAGAAACATTAAGATGATTACACTTTTACTTTTTATAATGTTAAAGAATTGGAAATATTACTCATGGCATTCACCCAGGTATATATGCCTGCTGCTTGAATGTGATTTTGTCATACATTCTTGTAGTTTTGTTTCTTTCATTAGTAAGTTATCCCATTATTAATTTTCTTTATAAAATGTATTATTTAAAAAATTTCTATCCCACTCTATGAGTCATAGATGCATATATATATATATATGTCTATAAATATATATATA